CTTAGTTATAACATGAGAAGGCTCCAAAAAGTGTGTGGAAAAAATGGAATTAAAAGATAACAAAATGTTCCCAAGAGTCTTTTGAAGGCCCCCCTCCCCTCCCAATATCTTACATATCTTACACCAAATGCAGTTAAATCCCTCCAGCATGTAGTGACCTTATAGGACAGAGTAGAATTCTTGTTGTTGCTATTGCTCTGAAGCCTAATGAGGAAAAGCAGGCATTAGAACAGATGATGTGTGAGGAACACTATCAATGGACAGAGGGGAAATGCCCGATTGTTTGCATAAGATGCGTCTTCACAGCATATACTTATTTGAATATGCTGCTTTCGGCACTGCTCCTTGCTGTTAAAAGAGGCTCTTGCCATTTTACTCATGACAGCATAATGATTCAACTCAGATGAATTGGACTCTTGTGCTGTATTCCAGCAATGAATGACTATGTCATATCATTTCAAGTTATCCCTCGGGTACCAGTGTGTGTGTATGCTACAACCGTGTAAGGTTACATTTCTTTTTTTTTAAATCATTTTATTTGGGGCTCATACAATGCTTCTCACAATCCGTCCATCCATCCATTGTATCAAGCACATTTGCACATTTGTTGCCAACATCTTTCTCAAAACACTTGCTTTCTAGTTGAGCCCTTGGTATCAGCTCCTCATTAGTTCCCCTCCCTCCCTGCTCCCCCTCCCTCATGAGCCTTTGATCATTTATAAATTATTAATATTTTGTCATATCTTACACTGCCCAATGTCTCCCTTCACCCACTTTTCTTTTGTCTGTCCCCCAGAGAGGAGGTCCTGAGGAGTTCATCTGTCCTGGATTCCCTGTGTTTCCAGTTTCTATCTGTACCAGTGTGTATTCTCTGGTCTAGCCTGATTTGTAAGGTAGAATTGGGATGATGATAGTGGTGGGGTCAGGGGGGAGAAGAGGAAGCATTTAAGAACTAGAGGAAAGATGTATGTTTTATTATTGCTATGCTGCACCTTGACGAGCTCATCTCCTCCCCGCGACCCTTCTGTAAGGGGATATCCGGTTGCCCACAGATGGGTTTTGGGTCCCCAATCTGTACTCCCCCTCATTCACAATGATATGATTTTATTTTCCTTGGTGCCTGATACCTGGTCCCTTTGACACCTCATGATCACACAGGTTTGTGTGTTTCTTCCATGTGGGCTTTGTTGCTTCTGAGCTAGATGGCCACTT